TAGAAAGTTTATCTCGCCAAAATTTGCTAATGTCTTCAGGACATTGCAAGCATTCATTAGAAAGGTGAGCTTTTAAAGTTCCCAGTTTACCCCTTTGTCATTTCTTTTCACAATAATAACAAGTAGCAGAATAGTGTCCGTCATTTTTTTCATCGCCTACAATAAAATATTCCCATACTTCATCTCTTTTAAGACCACCCTTTTTGTTTGTTTTTTGTCGTTTCGATGTATTTTCAGTATCACTAACATGCTTATTATTTTTCTCCATAGTTAATTTGAACGCGACGAATGAAAAACACATTATTAAAAAAAAATACGAATTTAAAAAAATTTTATATTTTTATTTTTATATTTGAACGGGTTGAATAAGTTTGAAAAAATTTGAATATTTTTTTCTATTGATCTTTTTATAATAATTCACATGCTTACTGTTATACTAACTTTTTATAGAATCTATCTGCGGTTTATGGTTAATTACAGTCAAATAGCAAATAGTTACGATAATAGTTACGGCAAATAATGATAGTTATGGCAAATGACACTATTTACAGCAAGTAACACTGTTACGGCATCCGGCAGTACCGTATTGCCATATTCTTTTAACTCTAATAGTTATAACCCTATAGTACCGATATGTCTACACCCTTAATATAAATTAAAAAATAGGAAAATTAGCTATTTTTTTTTCTATTAATGTGTAATAGCTTAAGGTCAGCTAGAGAAATACCTATTAACTAAATAAATTTTACCCTCAAAGTAACCCTTTAAGGTCGCCGATTCTTATTTAAGGGATACGGCAACCTAGTACTAGAAGCACATCTCCGACGGTTTGCCACCTAGTATAGACCACCTATAACAGCTATACTTGCAATCATAGGCTTACTAGACCATTAGGTACTATCACCTTTGGATAAAAGGTTCACATCAACCATAGAGCTTATCATACCCTATTTTTACCAATCTAATTTATAGGTTTTTATACTATTGATGACTATTGAGACTGTGAGATTAGGTTCTTTATATAGATGGTAGTATTTATACCCATAACGTTAAATTCATCTAGGAATCGAACCCAACCTCTACCCCTAGTGATAATTTGATTAGATGATACTGCAGTGTATAATGCAATCTATTATCATCATAACCACTTATAGGTAGTATCCAATCTACTAATTACTGGTTAATCACTTTCTTATTTGTGTAATAGCCAATTTGAAAACATAAGATAGTATCTGTTATAGACCTATCAGCGAAGGTCAAGTTTCTGTCAATCCTTAGCTTCATTTGCATTCACTTGTTCTTTAAATCCAATATTTAAACATGATCAATGTAGATCGATAGATCAATCTACCAGTATCTAACGCATATTAGTCTATACGCTCACATGTTCAGTTATATATAAAATTCTTATGAAAATCATTTAATTTTATGCCTCAGCTGAGACCTGAACTTATGGCTATTGCAATGTAACCTACAATAAAAGCTCAGTTGTTACCAACTGAACTAGGGATGCCAATCCTTAAGGAAATTAGCTATTTCTCCTTGACCAGAGGAGAATAGCAATTTTGTGTCATTTTAAACAATTATGGTTAATATATTAATGTGCTAGTCTTATCTGCATTTGATTAATAACAATACCTTTTTTATTTAACTTCTGAGCGTTGTAATATTCATTAGATAAAGACGGGCAATTTACTTTCTGATTTGACTCTAGATATGATTTTTTCTGAGCACTAGTTTCTACTGGATTGTTTGACTTAACTCAAATTTTTTCACGAGTCAGAATTATCATTTTTATAATACAAGTCCTAATTTAAAAAAATCTGCTAAAAGAAGACTTTTTTGAATTGCCTAGTCGTATTAGAAATAGTTAATGACTGGTCATTAACTAGTATATTTTTATTAATATATCAGTAGACCTTATTCAAAGAAACTTCTTCAAAATACTTTTGTAAGCAAGAATCAAACCACCTTTACTAAATGACTTAGAAATCAACTTGCACAATATAAGCAAGAACAAATAACCTAGCAAAATAACTTAGGCATTCATACTTGGGAATCGTCTTTGCAGGTAATTTCATATAGTTTGGATAGGAATAAATAATTTAGGTAATCATTCTTAGAAATTACCTTTGCAAGTGATCTCATAAAAAGTAATCCAAAGGGCTTTAATACTAGAAGATATACATATTTTCTTTTCATTTATATGTTTAATATCAGCATGTATGAACTTATAATTTCTCATAACGAATTAAGTAATTTTTGGAAGAAAAAAATGATTTTATTTTCGTGATGAGAGAGCATTTTCTAAGTAGCAGCTATCTTATTCATAATTTGTTAACGAGTAAAAGTACTCACTCTTTCTTTAGCGTATTTTCTGTAAGTTAAAGAAATTAACTTTAAGATTGGAGAATTATCACCAGTAATAATATTAAGTAAAGAAATTATTTGATATCAAGTTTATTAAAGACACGCAGGAGTTAACAAAAGCCAGTTAGAGTGTTTAGGATTAACTGATTTTTTTGTGATTTTGGCGTGGTCATGATTATTGGCAAATTTTTATGATTTTCACAATATTGAAATTTGATTGGATAATTTATCAGCATTTAGTTTTAATATATATAGTTAAAATCAGACTATAAGACAACATCCATAACATGAACAAATAAAAGTCAAATTTTGGCTGAAATTAACATAATTCTGGTCAAAAATCACAATTACGATAAATCACGATTTTTATTACATGATTTTTAGGTCATCACGCCAACAAATTCTAGACATCCTAAGAGTACTGTCAGAAATTACCCAATATTTTAGGATGGGAAAATAATGAAGATCTTAGGTTATACATAATAATATTATCATGTGATAATAATCTTAATCATGTAATAATAATTCAATAAAAGTGACTTAGCAAAAAATTGTTAAATTATGCATTTATTTTATAGATCGATGCATATACATACATAAAGATATTAATATGCTTTTTATAAAATTTGTTCATTCTCTATCCGAATTATAAGTCCTTAGTTCAAGTTTCATTTTATCATATAATCTTTTTTATTGAGATAGAAGAAGAGAAAGATTGTTAAAAGATGAGTTTTTCTATCTTTTAGGTCATCTTCAAGTAGTAGAATATATTAAATATTTATAATTTGTTAAGAATGTGAGAGTGTGAAAATATTTCTGATAAATAGGATAGCAAAGTTGTAAGTACATATTTTTTCAATAGACACGTAATGGATATCATAACCTAGTATTTTCAAAAGATCTTTATACTGAAGAAGGTGAATCGGGTTTGTGAATCACTCATCTTTGACTTTAATAACTGGTGGTAAGAAACCATTATGTAGTTGAAAAAAATCCATGGCTTCTTCAGCTCTAGATGGTTTATAACAACTGGTATTTACATATTGTTTTATATTAAAAGAATAGGTATACAAATTGTAGTAGGTTTCGATTCAGGATTATAGTACAAACATTTGGAATAGGTATATATTATTTTTTCATTCATATAATTTGATTTTTTTTATTCTTTTTTTCTCTTTTTTAATTCTTCAACCTTTTCTCTTTCTATTCTCTCGAATTGTATATACTCAAATAGATTTGTGAATATATCAACATAATAAACATTGACTTTCTTTCTAAAAATCAAATTGTGACGTTAAATTTCACAAAAAGCTTTTCCTAAATAGTAAAAATTTTGAGTAGCTAATTCTGGATTTATAACTTTACCCTGTGAATTCAAATATATATATTAAAATGATCAATTGGCAAAGTAATATCAGCGAGTTTACCAAATAATATTGCTATGCTTCTCTCAATCAGATTGTATTTTGATTGGTCAGAAGTATAGGTTTATATGCTTAAAAAATTCAAGTTAAACTTTTTAAAAAGTTGACAATAGAATTTTATATTTTTTAAATACCCGAGATTTTTGTCTAGCCCTCTATTCACCAATAAAATTCATATTGGTCGAATTGTTCCATTCATTTTCAGTATATCATCATATTGAGAATTTGAAATAAAACTTTTTAGATCTTGCATATACTTAAGTGAAAATGTACCAAGAGACCATTGAGAATATAAAAAAATTACCAATGTTCCTGTTCGCAATTCGTCATTAGATTCACTTGGATTTATCATCAAATATATTAATAGAATTAATTTTGTCTAAATTCTATAGGAAAATAATAGTCTGCTATAGTTGTGAGTTCGTTAATAGATTATAATGTACAGAATGTATGATCTACTACAAGTATTCTAAGCCTAATGTTTTGGACAGTTCAGTTCAGTCTCAAAAATTTCAGTTCAATTCAGTTCAGATTAAAAATCTTAAAAATGATAATCTGAAATCAAACTGAACTGTAAACTGGTAAAAATCTAAATTGAACTGAAAATTTCAGATTAATCTAAAATTTTAGATCATATAAAATGATAATTTCATCGTTTTAATTAAATGATCCTTTTATTGTTCTTTTAAAACGATAATTTAATCATTTTAATTGAACGATTTTCTTATCATTCATTTGAAATGATAATTTAATCATTTTAATCAAATGATTTTCTTATCATTTATTTAGAACAATAACTTCAATCATTCTAAATGAACGATTTTTTATTATTCTTTTGGAACAATAATTTAATTGTTTCAATTGAACGATTTTTATTATTCATTTGGAATGATAACTTCAATCGTTCTAAATGAACTATTCTTTTATCATTCATTTAGAATGATAATTTAATCATTTTAAATAAACAATTTTCTTATCATTCATTTAGAACGATAATTTGATCATTCCAATCAAATAATTCTTTTATCGTTCAGTTAGAATAATAATTTCATCATTCCAATCGAATGATTTTTTTATTGTTCATTTGGAATGATAATTTCATCGTTCCAATCAAACGATTTTCTTATCATTTGTTTAGAATGATAATTTTATCATTCTAATCAAACAATTTTCTTATCATTCATTTAGAACAATAATTTAATCATTCTAATTAAATGATTTTTTTATCGTTTATTTAAAATGATAATTTGATCATTTTAATCGAATGAATTTTTTTATTGTTCGTTTAGAATGATAATTTATTCATTTTAATCGATCGATTCTTTTATCGTTTGTTTAGAATGATAATTTTATCATTCCAATTGAACGATTCTTTTATCATTCTTTTAGAATTATAATTTCATTATTTCAATTAAACGATTCTTTTATCGTTCATTTGGAATGATAAATTTAATTGTTTCAAATGATTTAAAAT